TTCGATCCTTCGATTTACGTTAGAGACCGGTATAATAGACATCTAGTATAGAAAATCTAGTAAGGGGAATTTAGCGACGGAGAGAGATTCCTTAATAAATATAGAGTCTTATAAGTAGAAAGCGATATAAATTTAAAGGGAAAGCGTAAGCGAAGGAGGTAGACTATAAATAAAAGCTATTAACGCCTAAGTTAACCGGTAGTAAAAACGACGTAGTCTTATAGATATTAGCGGCTTATAGCTACTAGTAAGTGGTAGGAGAAAATAGCATTAGCCTTTCTATAGGCATCTATATAAGTATTACGAGGCTAAGTTAAGAGGTGTATTACTACTCCGCTTCCTATTATATACGGTTAGGTTAGTAGAAAGCCTATCTAAGGTCCGGTGCGTCGAGCCCTATGCGTTAGCCATGCTAGGCATAGAGCTGCTCCACTAACACCACACTAAAGAAAGCTTGTTGCAGACATCCTGTGGCTATGGAGATCGCCGCTTGTGGCGTCGCACGGTTAAATCCGTCGGCCGAGCTGCAACCTTTTGTTAATCCAGGGTCCAGCGTCTCCACAACAAGTACGTATGCTCGTACCTGCATGTACACGTCTCATCTGCGCCAACGAGAGGATCGTCGCGTCTGGGACAAACGCTTATAAGGAAAGTTGTTACCGCCTGAGGCAATTCGGTTCCTCCGAGCAGTGGTCGACTTTATCTTTCTAGCAATGTACGAGAGCCACGACACCGAGACACTACGATACTCTACTTTGGCGTTATATAGGATGAATATGCACAAAGGAGTATTCCGAAAGTACAGGAACCCAAAGGCAGAAGGGGACGACCAGCACTTCAACTTTTCAAAATGGCACGCCCTCACCAACTATATTGATATTATCGAGCTCTATGATTGTGCGCCTGATTGGGACGGAAGTCATCCAGAACACAAGCACCATACCTGTGTCGAAGAAGATTCCAGACGATCCAATCGCCAAGAGGGCTGGGAGGATTAGCCAATGGACCACCATTACCGGGGACTAAACATGCTTGCAATGCAGGATCTGATTATGCCACAGGAGCTTGGATCTCCTAAAGAGCGCGCCGAAGAGGCGGGAGAACCGGTGTCATCAGCTGATCCGACAACGCTGGCGAAATTCTTCCGACTGCCTATGCAAACCGGGAAAAGGCTGAGGACTACTGGACACTAGTAACCGAGGTTGACGAACAGCTAGGCGGCGAAGATGGCCGACTCTTCCGACAGGCAATAGCCGTCCTCGTTCAAGAGAGCAGGCTCACAGAAGCAGCAGCCAACTCTGGACCGCACAAACCTGAGGCAGAACCAGATCGAGTTGAGCAAGATCCTTCATGGGTTGATAACTGCCTCATCATGACAGGAAGAAAAATGTATGGGCTGGCGCAGATTTACCACAAAATACATGTGGTCCCAGTGGACGGGCGCCGCGATGCAAAGAGTACATCTACAACTCAGCAGATTGGGTAACATATAACTTCATCTACAACCAGAATTGGGGACTTGAAGTTTGCAAGAATGCAGAGAATGCAAAAGAGAAGAAACGGCTTAAGATGAAGTAAAAGGAGCTTACGAAGAAACGAGCTGCAAAGGAGAGGAGAGTGATAGAGGGACGAAGGGGGCGTGGAGGTAAGAAGCAGCGATGTCGTTGAGCCTGGTCTTGCAGTGATTCTGCTGACCCTTCGCCGTCTCGTCAAGTACTCCCTTCTCACGATCACAGCCAACCACCATTTCAACGTCACTTCTGCTCTGACAGTGTTGGCAACTCAGCTCAGAGGACTTCGCATGAGCGAGTGTTATTGCTGGTCTGAATAGGCGTTGTCGCGTGGTATTGGCCGTAGAGTGAGCGTGTTTCGAGCCATTCCTTCACTCACAAACAAAAACGCGTCACGTACACACACCAACACTGCCAGCGCACTCAGAAACTTGACTCCCATCTTCCAATCACACCTCCACTTAGACACTTGCCTCGACATCTGTTCCACCTTTGGCTAGTATGTTGATATTTCTGAGTCGCATCTCTCGGCTTTGAACTTACTCTGCGCATAGCAAGCAATGGCGCGTTCCCAGCACATGTCGCTCGCTGGCAGCACTTTCTCTCAGGCCGACGCTGAAAACCCCCTGCTTCCATCACCGACGACTTTACTGCTGGTCTTGACTCCGAGAACGACATGCCCGCTCTCATCGACTCTGGCGACGATCTGCCCTCTCTCCTCAAGGCGTCCAGTGCTCCTCAGAACCCGTGCTCTGCTAACAACGATCATCCCGCTGTCACTTCCACCGTTATGGCTCCCTACATCGCCGCTCTTGAAGTTCCCGACATCGCCGCCTTTGAGGCAGACCCTCTTGACTTTCTTGAGTACCTGCTGGATTCCCTCGGCGCTGGTCGTTCTCCCCTGCGCTCCTCAGACCTCTCCTCCGCCCAAGTCTTCATGCTCAGCATGATAATTTTGCACTACCAAGAACAACTCTCGTTGCTTGATGGCTTGTGCGGCGTTTTGCATGAAGTTCTTATGGGCCTCAGCAAGATCTTGGTTGCTATCGCCTTTCGCCTTATCGGCTTCCCTATGGGCATAGCCAATCTCCGTGATGCTATCCAGTTGATTGCTGAAATTGCTGTCGGCGTCTCTCGCACATCCTACCGCCGTGCTTACCACTCCTCCGGTGTCAACTGTTGCGTTAATCCCCTCAACTTTCAGAGTGTTCGCGATCAGACCGACGCCAACGTCCGCATCGCTTGCCCTGTTCCCCAGTCTGATCGCTACGGCACCCCTCATTCCATGCTCAGTCTTGAGCTCAACGAGACAGAGCTTCACTGAGCGTTGAGTTACTTGCTGCTTAGCACAGATGTTCGCATTACCTCATACATCAATGGCCTGTATCCTCGGCATCGAAGTCTGTATCATGCTATTGAGAAACTTATTTAGACTCCCATCGAGTCTTGGATTGACGTCTTGATCAAAAACGATGTGGGCGCTTCCCAACCCGCATCGAGACGTATGGCGTCTCACATGAGCTTTCACCACCTAACTTCGACCGCTTTACTGAAGCAGGAAAGCATCCTAGGAGTGAATCTTACTATGCTGCGATTGAAGAAGCCAGGGGATACTGCGCCCAGCCTGATTTTAACCCATACGATTCCTTAGACGGCGAAGAGCCTTTTCCTTGGCCCGGATACAAGGAGCCCTGATGAGTGGGATGCCTGGTGTAGATCTGGGGAGGACTCAGCCATGCCATCACTTATGCAGTACTCTCAGCTCAATCACTTTGTGCATCCTGAGCCACGTACTACGTACACCTACCAGCAAAGATGTTTTGCGAGTCCTTGACGTACCTTACAAAGGACAGATACTCAGAGGATCTCTTAACTCGCCTCCTTCATTGCAAAGAGCGGGATCTGTAGGTCTTCCTGTGCATCGATTGCTCGCTTGGTCATATGTCCTCTATCATTGCATCACGCCTTTCGACTTATTCGACAAAACCAAACCCGGTCGTCGAAGCCTTCTTACCTTGTCTCTTGTGAATTCCAACTTTCGCATCTGCTCGACCAGAAACGTGCTTCCCCCAAGACATGACTAGTGGGCAGATGAAGCTCTATCCGCAGATCCGCCAACAAAGGTCGCCATGCCGTAGGAGCTCGTCGACCACATCGACTCGTTTACCGCTAATTGGCCCATGTGTTTAGAAGAAGCACTGAAGGTTAGGAAAAGTTGGCCAAAGATCAGAATGATCACGAGCATGACATAATGAACAATCCTGCCGAGTAATACGATTTCAACATAGATGAGTATAATTCTGATGATTATCCATCTTTGCCTATTGCACTGGTTCCACTGTAACATCAAAGCCTCAATTATTACCGACTGTATAAGGGAATAGCATCGCACAGCGGTGTGGCGTTCATCGTGAGCAAGTCCTAACGATTTCTTGTAGCTTAGTACCCCATTAAGAACTTCGCGGATCCTTAGACGTACCGTGACGGAGGCCTCACAAGTAGCGGATACATCTGGATCAGAGCGATTTTTTCTTCCTCCTAGCATAAGACCCATGATATCAATCAATGGTGACGAAGGATTCTCGAGAATGCTCGCAACGGAGAGTGCGGCATCACCAGCCTCGCCAATCAATTCGATGATCTAGACAGGGGCAGTCACTGTATCGGCCAGCTCTGCAAATTCACCTACGATTGGGACAAAGAAGAGGACGGCACCTGCTATATTCGGAATGAAATCCTTCTTCTCCTCGGCAATGACCTCCTCGCCCACATCTTTGACTTGGAACGTGCAGTCGACGGCTTGTACCAAGAAGAAGATAGGATTGGATGCAATACCCCATCCTAGCCATTGGGATGCTAAGATGATGACATATCTGGCTTAGATGGTCGTTCGTAGAGACGGAACGTTTGGAATAGCTTCAGTGTGCAACGTCCTTAGGGTTAGGCACCGTGATATCATCCATAGCTTAAGGGATACCGATGAATGTGTGCTTGCATCGGCCATCGGCAATACCGTTCAGATACTGATCTAACTCCGTTTCAGACTCATCCCGATCCGGCTGGATACCGTAGTCTTTCGAAGATCGACTATGGCGGTCATCAGGACATTCTTCGGTCAAATCTCAGCTCCAAGCGCCACACGGAATGGCTGATATAGTATGATGGGCTGCAGTCGTGTGGGGCGTTACATAACCAGCAATGCAGAGTGAGTGGTAAGAGAAGAAGAGAAGGTAGAGGATAGCACAGTGTATGCAGATATGTTGGTAGTATCGCCGACGGTCATTCTTCTCATCAAATTTCATACTTGGGGCATTGTCACACATTCGAAACTTGCTCAACGCGATTCAGACGCATTATGAAAAGCACTCACCACATCTTCAGCATTAGTTGACTAGGGCCTAGAGCACAGGCACGATTTCATACATCATCTGTGTCTAGGAAGCGGAAATACCACTACTTCTTCTCCCTAAGATGGGTATCTGATACCTAACACATCAGGTATAACGGGCATTGTGCCCTCAGCCGGTGACGTCTGTTCCTCTTCCGCGGTCTTAAACTCTTGGCCTGAAGCAGCGGATGATATAGGAGTAACTTGAACAAACGACTCTGTTTTTGACCGTTCCTTATATGGTTTTCGAGATTGCCATCGGTGGAACTAAAAAGTCCGACGGGTAAACTTTCTTCATCCCTCGTGGAAGACCTTCCCTCACGGCTTAGGAAGAGATCTTTGCAGAAAGGCTCTAGTGTCTTGCGGTGAGGAACAGGCTCTTCGCTCGCCCAGCGCCAACAGTTACGGCAGAGCGCCATCGCCGTTCCCTCAGTCAGAGGTGTAAGACAAATGACGACAATGCCAATGATTGTGTAGCAACAAAGGAACAGGATGAGACAGATTGACCAGTAAGGTAGAAAACCGAGATCAGAAAGCGTCACACAGAGCCAAGAGCCAAAGGACCAAAAGATGAACCCATGGGTCAAGTAGATAGTGAACGTGTGTGGGAACAATATGATCCAGATCTTGAGGCTCAAGAATGCTTGGAAGGAGGTACTAAGCTCGGTGATCATTTGGACAGCACCAGCGAACAGGATAGTGTTCAAGCGGGGCTCAAAGTAAGATGGATACATAGAGCGCAGTTGACCCTGAGGTATGCCTGTGGTCGGTTCGGGGTGGATGCTACGTTCGTACGTCATGAGGTTGTAAAAGCCGCGATCTTCGAGAAACGACCATAGCGGGCCTTGAACCATCAGGATCCAGAGTCCTAAGCAAACTGGGTAGAAAATCCTAGGGCGTGCCTGGAGATATGCCACATAATTATATGTGACGTTTAAGTCGGCAATGAGTAGACCCAACCAGAAGCAACTGCCCCAACTCAACGAGTACCAATTGGCAGTGATGCACCACGCGTAGAACGCAAATCTCTTCCAGTGAGATTTGATTTCTCGCACCATGACTGCACCAAGCAAAGTCGTATAGCTGAATTGCAGCTGCACGGGGATCGTCCAGAGAACACCGACGCAATAGTGATTGATGATTCCCGGAGCTTTGTTCGGAATCAGATAGCCAAGCTCGAGGATCTCATTCACGAACCAGCCAAAATTGGGATAATTGGCTACCCAAGGCCAAATAGACCAAGTGATGGACGGGAGGAACTCGAGCTTCGAAGTGAGACCGAGCTCAATGAAAAAGTATTCGAAAGCAGCCACAATGACAGCAGGTATGACCATACGTGGAGCCCTAAGCAACATTTTCTTAGCGACATCGACAAGGTCTCCTGTACGAAGGAAGTTTTGAGCTAAGAAACGAGTCGAGGTCGTGAAGAATGGACCTACGGTTGATCAGCAAAGATGAATAGCCTTGAGTTGAAGAGACCTACCAATCCAGATTGGATTCAAGAAGACAGGCGTCACCACCCATCGTGAGTAAGTCTCCGACTTGTAGTGTCTTCCGGAACCTAAGCCGCCAACCCAAGGAACAAAAGTAAGCGTAAAGTGGATGAGAGTCACAAAAACACATGAGATGGTAACGAGTCCGGCAAGGTAGTCGATGCGCTTAGCAGGCGGTGGTAGGGAAGGTGGCAAGCGACGGGTTTCTGGAAGAGAACTTGCGGATTGACTAGACACTTTCAATGCAAGTGCAGGTGTCTTCGTTTGCTCTTCGCTAGACTTGAATGATGTTTTTCATATTNNCTCGAGCGAGTGCATCAGGACTTTTGTAGATTTGTCAGGACGCAAAGTCGGAGTTGGACAGCCAAGTGTAGTGCTGGTACTTGACCAACCGTGGTCAGAAATTGGAGAATCTTGTCCTAATTCAGCATTGGAAACCCGATCCGAGATGTCGGATTGGCACGAGCAATCATTCCGCATTGTCTTTCGAGACAAAGCCAAATTAGACACATTGATCGGATCGGGGGTCGCACTTGGGTATGCTGGAGTCATCGCTCCCCAGGGAGTCGTGACACTCGATGATGACGATTCGGCAACGGTATAACTGGGTTGCCTATCCCATTTCGAGATATCAAGACCGCTAAGACTTGGACTGGATCTTGAATATCCAATCTGACCTGGTTCGACATCGCCAGCGCAGGCATGACGCTTTACAGGCGTGACGTCGGACTGCATTTTCCGGGTCATCATCTTCTCCCAGGGCTTTCTTCTGAACAGAACATTGAGAAGAGCAGCAATTCCGAAGAACGAAGAACAGCCCGCGACAATGCCTGAAGGCTTTTGCCACTGCTCATGGTGAGATTCCCCTTTCCAAGCGAGAAGCGAGGCTGATGTGTAGTTGGATGATCCCCTCAGACTAGGGTTGTCAACATCACATGCCAAATTAAGACTGCACTGTACGTCGAAGTCATCACGTTGCTTGATCGTATAAACAGACGAATTGAAGAAGGCCCGGACCCAGGCAATGCTTGCGACTGTACGATTTTTTGGTGGCCCTTCCATCCACGTGGAGTCGCCGGTGGACCAATGCTTGAAGATGAGTGGCAGAGGCTCAGAAGGAATTGCCTCTTTCTTAGAAGAGATCGACCGAGTAAGATTCTCCGCTAGTGTGAAATTCACATGTTCCTTAGTCCAGTCCATACGAATTGTGATGAAATCCCAGGGATCCACGGCGGACAGCCTGTCGGAACCCTTNTGCAAGATTGTGTAGTTCAACCCAAGATCCTGAGCGGGGTACTCGCCATTGATGAGGGTCGTGATTCGTGCATTACTTGGATTGTCGCTGTTTAGCATGTCGATCTCCATAGAGCTTGACTGATTCAATTGAAGCATCATGGACAGAGCAGAACCACCCGCCCAGGCAGCCGGCCCACGTACAGAAGCACGAAAGGTGCCGTGGAGAATGTCTTGTCGTTGTGATGCGATTGCACCAGCATTGACGAGGTGACTTGCTGTGCCCGGGTCCAAGAAAAGGTCTAAAGCTGGCTGGTTCCTCGATATCAGACTATTACCGGCAACCGCGCCTTGGCGATACAAGCTGTTCCATCCTTGCTCGGAACGATGGGTAAAAGACTGAATCCGAAAGACGTCACCCGGTATCGCCTGGGTTTCATTGAAATAGACGATGATGGAATCAGTAAAGAGTTGACCGGTAGAATGATCGTAGAAACCACAGGCACAAGAACCTGAGTCGACGGCGTTGGCGAAACCTCCTGCCAAGGCAAGGACCAACAGCCTCCAGTGCATGGTGTTCCTCGTCAAGAGACGTATGATAGGAGATCTTTGGGGATCTCAAAGTTTACAACTGGATGTGAGCATGGAAGGGTCGAACCTGCTGTTATCTGGTTCTGCAGTCCACAGTCCATGAGGACATGCCATGCATCACCAATGTGCGAAGGTTGAGTGACATGCGAGTATGCTAACTCGACTGACAGTCTAGACCCGAGGGACACATCCGACCCGAAAAGATGTGAACTAGTACATGGTTTGTCCGATCTTCCAAATACAGTGATACATGACCGAATTGTTCAGCTGCCGCTCTTCTAGAAGCACCGATCAGTATCTTTGGTCGCTTTCCCAAAGCTGATTCCGGCAACACCGAGTTGAAAGCGGCTCGCACAAGAAGCAATTAGGGTCTGCTCTGATAGCCCATTGATGACGTCAGCCAGATGCAGATGCAAACCCAGAATCCTGGTTAAGCCCGGTGTAAAATGCCTAGACCGTCTTCAGCAAGGTTGTATGGTCTGCAATTGCTCAAAAAGGAATGCGCAAGTGACCTAGGATGGGCAGGCTGAGAATTTCCATCTGCATGGAGCTTACACGATACGGAGTGTGAGATTCCCATGATTGGTGCCTCAGAGCCTCACCGATAACATCTGACGCTCATCAACAACCTTTTCCTCGGACCAGCACGTTCACAAGGACCGTTTTGCACGCTTGAACCTTCAACATTGCACTGCGCAAAGTCCGGAAGCAACTGACAACCAGCACTCTCGAACCCTGCGGTCAATCTTTCATCTCGTTGAGGACCGCAGCTGGCGACAAAATGGCTTTGTCCTCCGTTTATCTGCGAACGACGATTGTCAGGCTGAATGTGGAGACATGTAGACCGTGGTTGGTAAGGCTCGTACACGGGCTGCAGAGGCTGAACTGATACCTTACGTCATGCCTTGCTCAAAATTTGTCGGGATCAGACAAAAACTTCAAATCATGGTGTGCACAAGTGATATGCAGTCACGACTGGTATAATGGTTGAATCTTCGACACATATGAGGTATGATTGGATGTCTATAGTGCGACTTTGTCGCAAGTCCAGACATGAGAAGCAAGGACTACATACGAATGCTTGATGGATGCCCTGAATCCACAACATCGGTTTGTTCTTAGTGTGACTACTTCCTGCTCCAGTTGAAGAGAAATTCAGCAACCCATGTCGCTGGTTGCTCGACCAGTCTGTAAAAAACCTCACCAGAGACAGCAGTCGAGCAGAGATAAACAACGAAGGCCACGGTTTCAGCCCAAACCACGGACATGTGTCTCTCCCCGAGCAAAACTAAAACATCAAGGGCGACAGTGTAGAGCATCAGAGATTGTGCGATGTATAAGCCTGTTCATCGTCAGTACTATATACAGGCAGTCAAAAATAGGCTGCGCTCACTTAGCGATCGTTTTCCCAGTCCGACCAGGATCCTAGATGAGAAGATATTTTGCATACGATTTGACGTCTCAAGCAACACCAGAACACCGACCACCACTAGGTAATCATCCAGACGAGCGAATGGCTGATCTGGATGCGCACTCGAGACTGAGCTTAGATGTTGGCTGGGATGAACCAGTAGCTCAGCTCGAAGATGTTGAGGGAAAGCTGCGACCCAGACGTATTTCATGACGAGGCCCACTAGCACCGATATCACGGCCAATGTCCGGTATGAAAAGCTGGTGTCATCATTGAACTTGATGCCTCGGTCCAAGCAAGCACGTAAGCTAGGATAGTGAGATATGTCAGCGACGAGAAGACCAGCTGCTGAATACCAACCCCAGGAGTTAAACCAGAATGAACCAATACTGAAGATCGCAACAGCCTGTAGGTGCCAAGATACTCTTGTGAAAGGGAGTATGACCATAGCGATGTAGACTGTGTAGCTTTGCGAGTAGATCAAGGACGGTACCCAGATGGATGCACCGGGGAAGGCTTGGTTGGCCATCTGTTTCGCGAAGTCGGAAGTGATCCAAAGCAAGTCCCAGGCTGTGTTGAACGATGCTAGTGCAGTGGCTGGCATACGAGGAGCGGTAAGATTGGGATTGTCAAGAATCTTTGCAGCTGTCTCGATGTATGATTTATCAATGAAAGAAAACAAAGAGATGGAGGAAGCCAAGGCGAATGCCAGAGGGATACCAATACGTAGAGGCCGAACGATTAGCGATCGAGCGAACGATTTGGCAGTCGGTTCCTGGAGGAAATGCATGCATACCGAGCGTGCGGATAGTATAATGAAAAANGAATAAATCAGACTCTCATTCCATAGAGGTACCGAGAACATATTGCGAGCGACGATCTGGTACATAGGCCCCGACGTCCTCGATGAAACCACTGTCGGAACAAAGGCCTGCAGGAACAGCCAGCAGAAGCTTTCGATGGCCAGCAAGCCTCGCAGACCATACAGATAATCTTTCGATTGCCTGGTCGTTGGAATTTCCGCGTCAGAGAGTAGAATGTTCTTGATTGTCAACAGAAATTTGCTTTGAGCCATTATGTAGTGTGGTATGGTTAGATATTCGACAGAGGGATCCTAAACTCGAGATCATCTTGAGTTATCTATCTTCCCATTTTTCTGCAGTCTGCCAGATTGGCAGACGGTAGTGTTCCGCTTGTCTAGCAGTTCAACGTTCGACTCGAGCGATCATGGACAGGTAGATCCAGCTCATCCGTCGGAATCTAGATCCCTTGAGCGTCGGTGGAAAGCTTGCAGGAAATGGCTGAAATATCTGCATATCAAAGATGTATCGCAGAGTCTATGCGAACTGTGCAGCAGCGAGAAAGTCAAACCAGTCTTGTGGCGCCCAATCAGATCGGCGTGCTCAAGGAACTATGAGCCGCGCCATGTCTTGGCGCATGTCCAAATCTAGGCTTCCAATCGACAAGCAAAGACAGGGATGTGTGTCTACATCGGCATCTGCGGACTTCTCCATTTATCAATGGCCTAGCCTACGAGAAGCTTCTACTTCTGCTCACTGATGGCGTTACGACAAGTGACTGCTACTTAGTGGTGACGCTGCGCTGCTTTCTCATTGGTGGTGAGAATTTGTGTACCATCCACGGATGGTTGCGTGCACCAATAATGGATGCTTCAAGGCTTGAACGAGAGGCACATCTGATGCGTAGTGGAGATGCATCGACATCAAACCTAGACGCATCTCCGAAAAAGCCATATCTCGCTATCGCATATCTATGTTCCTCTGTGCTCTGTCTTCTTGACCTCTTCGAGTCTTCCACAACTTCCTACCCCTTCTTGTTCGTCCGATTTTTGTGCTCTGAAGAGGCCCTGCTCTATCCCCCTCCCATCTTGTCGTCCTGGTTATATTCTTACATCACGTCCGAGAACATGAACATCTCGCCCTACGAAATATCGGGATCAACGCGCCCACCTGCTTCGTCTTTAATAAGACAGTTGTTAATGCGACTCCAGAGTCTCATCTCACAGTCTTCCGTCTGGCTGTTCGATTGGACACCTNTTATCCTTGTCTCAGCATACTACATCACGTCTACTGCAGTGTACACGGCTGCTACCGAAGGAACCATCAAGGTGTTCTATTTCCTCTACATGGCTGTCAATTTCTACATTGCTGCTTGTACGGTCATCGAAGCGTTTCTTGGAATTTCTCCACTTCGAGAGTCCAGGAAGGCTGCCATCAAGGTTGATCAGAACAATTCTCACTTTCCGACCCCTGACGAGGAGCTGCCCATAATTGATCTGATCATTGTTGCCTACCTTCCCAATGAGCAAGACATTGTCAAAGATCAAGTTTCCTATGCCCTGGACGAGCTAGTATACCCTCGGGACAAGCTTCGAATCAATCTTGGTATGGGTGATCAAACATGGCTGTCAATAGGCATGTGATTTCCTAACGGCTTCNTAGTATACAACACACCGAGACCCATCGAACCTCTGCAAGCGGAACTAGCAGAAATGGAGAAGCACTACGCACAGCTTAGAGTAATTAATGTTCCAAAGTCCAAATCTAAGGCTGACAACCTCAACTATTTCTTTACGCTCAACACGGGTGCCGACATCATCGCCATCTTCGATTGCGATCATTTCCCTCATCCGCACAACCCTCGTTGGGCCGCTGAGCGATTCAAGAAGGATGCCTCTATCGACATTGTCCAAGGCCGATGCGTGGTCTACAACACGAATGAGACTNTTTTTACTAAGATGATTGCTATCGAGTTCGATAAGATCTACGCCGTCTCACATCCCGGCCGTAGTCGTCTCTTCAAGTTCGGTCTCTTCTGCGGCTCCAATGGGTACTGGAAAGCGGACCTTCTTAGAGGGCACCAGATGCATGGCCACATGTTGTGTGAGGACATTGATTCAGCCTTACGGGCCTATGGCGAAGGTAAAACCGCTGTACATGACATGAATGTCTTGTCCTACGAGATGGCGCCCATAAACTTCGCGGCGTTCTGGAAACAGCGCATGAGATGGGCTCAAGGCTGGACCCAGGCTAGTATTAGGCATATGCCTCTCATCTGGAATAATCCACCTGACGGCATACGCGGCATTAACGAACGTTTTGGGGTCCTCTCCCTGCTTTTCGTACGCGAGATCAGTTACTATCTCGTCACCCAACATACATGTTTGCTATTATCCTTCATCATCACTGGCTGGCCAAAGAATCCTAGCGATCTCATCAAGCTGATATTCTTTCGCTATCCGATGGCAGAGTGGTTTTTATTTGCAACGNTAAGTCTAAGTCTAACCCATAGTCGTTCGCCACTCACAATGAGAATCAGTATCATTTGCCTGATCTTCACTTTGGCCATCACGCAAACAGCACGATCTGAATTCACGACCTTCTGGATGATGATCCTATTTTGCGTAATCTACACTCCCTACCTAGTGCTGATGGCAACCATGGGTATGTGAAATCATGTCTTGATGATGATACACTTTTTCTGACTCAACCAAAAGNGGATTTATGGCCATGCACGGCAATTGATTGGTTACAGCAAGTGGAATGCCACTTCCCGGAATTGATACATTATGTCAATGTCTCTACAGATAGCGGCGTGAATCGTCTAGACCATTCATCTCGGCATTGCTGGTCATCACGCTACTTTTATAGACCTTTTATCTTGGTATTTTTGAGAGATGAGACGAAGGATTTGACTTCTATCTTGCAGATCTTGCTCGATACTATTTTGCTAGAGGAGACCTCAAAATTGGTTGGTGGCACAGCTGACTCCGGATCGCATCTAAAAACATAGTTAGTCACAAAGTGTAGACGCAAGCATAGCAGGAGGTTGCTTCAAGTCTCCGCACGCGTCTCGCGTCCAGAAAGCTTCGTTTTAACATCGTTTGACGACCCGGGTCAAAGCTACGTACAGGACCAGAAACAGCTTGGTCCGAGGCTATCAAGTCTATCGTCGAAGAGGGTGACTGCTACGCGTAATTTGACGTAGTCGTAAGGTAGATAAACACTAAAGCTCCAATGGTACGTGACCTCACAGACCTATCGTACATTCTGCTTTGGCATAAGAGAGTGGTTGATGCCCTAAATCTATGTCATGGCCAACTATTCTGGAGAGAATAACTAGTCACGGGACTTGTACTCGTGAAGAGGAGTGTCAAGTGAGTTGCTGCCTTCCCATATACTCGTGCTGGCTCTTGAAGGAGTGTATAAGCCATGCGTGCTCAGGCCTGAGAGTCCTGAGCCGGCAGGGGTTGAAGGTGTGACCCTGACCCAATTGCTGCCTAGGCTCAGAAATCCTTTGCTGAGCCAGGACGGGGTCACTCCGGATCGTAACAATCTGAAAGACAATTGTCGAGGTGTTCCTCCACTAATACGTCGAGTTATGTGGCTCTCATCCATGTACATGACAAGAAGATAGTAGTCGTGGAGCGGTACGAAAACGTTGCCAAGTTGAGGGCATAAACGAGCAGCGCTCAGATTTGCTTATGATTGCAGGAGTGCACTGAATGAACGCCATGGTGTGATTATGTCTCGCTTAGTCAGCCGATACTGTCGTATCACTTAGAGTTCAGAGCACTTAAAAGCAATACTCGTCACGAAACGAACTCTGAGATAAGGTACGTACATGCTATGAGCCAGTTCTTGTTACACCCGCTAGTATATAGATGGGCTGGGGATCTAGCGAGGTATGACGTCATCAAAATGTTAGCTGAAGCTATACAGTATTAATGTACCTGGAGATCATAGTGACATGTATATATGCAAGCGCGAATCCAGCCTATAGATATGAGGCTCATGAATTTAGCATGATCTGTCACGTTCACCAGTAGCTAGACTGTACTAGTGCTGTAGTCCTGAGTTCGCAGAGATCTGATGACAAAATGAAAAGATCACATGAACCATTGTTTCTTCGTCTTGCAACGAGGGGATGCGGACGGAACCTGCAGTGGGTACCTGTAACCACTTAAAGTTTCTCCTGTGATACATGGCAGTCCAACTTAAACATCCATTCCTCACGCCACCAACATTTGACAATTTCTACGAAGTCCATAAATATCGACCTACCGTGCTGGTGTTTGCGTCTGAAAGCTGATAAAACGCCTCACTATTCCACATATCTTTACATCAAGTTTATCGACCGTTCATAGTCATGCAAGAGAGCATTGTACTTATCACAGGCGTAACGGGTCACGTTGGATTTCGAGTGATGGAGTACGCATTGGACTGTGGCTTCGCTGTGAGAGCAGTTGTACGATCAACGGCCAAAGCCGATGCTGTCCAGGAACATCCTAGGGTCAGAAAATGCTACAAAGAGGGACGCTTGAGCACATTCATCGTTCCTGACTTCACGACCCCCTATGCCTTCGATCAAGTTGTCCGGGACGTTCAGTATATCATACATTGCGCTTCCCCGATACCCATGGGACCACCGACATCGAGCGAGCCTGAAAACGACTTTGTCAAGCCTGCTGTCGACGGTACACTTAATCTTCTTCGATCTGCGTATTCGACGCCGTCAATCCAACGCGTGGTCATTACATCGTCTTGCATCGCGACAGCGCCGGTAGAGGCAGCGCTGAAATATACCGGCATGACCTACACCGCAGAAATGCGACAGCCCTCGATCGCGAAGCCGCTTGACCCTGGTGTCCCCAGTTTCGTGGCATATGCTGCTGGAAAAGTCGCAGCGCTCAACTCTACTGAAAGTTGGGTGAAGGAAAACGAACCACATTTCGGCATTGTTCACCTTATGCCGTCGTATGTTCTGGGTAGAGTTGGTATGGCAACATCATTATCAGATTTACGGCGTACTGCCAACAAATTCATACTGGACATTGTCCTAGGGACAGAAGGGCAGAATCCAGACCCTGCTCACGTGGCAATGGTCATCAACCACATAGACGACTGTGCTCGAATCCACGTACAGGCACTGGATGCAAAGGTCCCAGCGAGTCAAAGTTTCATGATATCTTCTGGTCGCGATTCTGGTCTGCAATGGAATCATGCCATAGACGTGGTGAAGAAGCACTTTCCTCAGGCATACAATGCCGGAATTTTGCCTTGTTCTGGCTCGATCGATAGTGTAGAGTGCCGCCTAGACAACACAGAGACACAGCAGACTTTTGGGTTTAGCCATACCTATGAGGATGCCGTACGGGACGTTGTCCAACAGTACCTCGACATCTGTGCAGAGACAACACCAGGGGCTAGGTAGCATAGTTTGAGATCTACTTGTGACTGGTTATGTGATCATGCCATTTACTGCAAAGTCTGTTTGATATCTGTTTGGGCTGACTACCATTAAGAAATTTGTTGTACTATTTCTCATAGCTTAGTCTCTAATCGTTTCCAATGTGAGAAACAAGCAAAATCAACACTCATCTTCCAGCTTCCCAGCATAGAGCTAAGATATGAGTGATCAAGCGTCTTGATTGTAGCTAACCACTAGGACAACTACTCGAGACAATCGTGGATATTTTAGTGCGATCTTGGCTAGAAGCAAGCAGCACCAGACAGTTATAGCATGTTAGGTAAACATTTTCCCTATCGTCTAAAAAAGTCTAGGTTCTAAGTTTGCAATCTCTCGTCCACTTCGTGTGCTACTCTAACATGATTCGCTTAATGCCTAGCTAATAGGAACCCTACCTTCCATCGGAAGGTATGCTAAATTAGGTATAACGGGGAGGCTTAACTACCGAAACGGGAAATCTTTAGGACGGAAGGCATGATGGAAGGTACATTTTGTAATTCACATAAATCTTGCTAAATGTTCGTAAAACAATAGTAAGTTACTAGGCTTTATATGCAAAAACAATTACACCATTTAGAATTCTAATATAAGTAGTAGTTAGTAGGATATCGTCGTCGAAACATAGTAGTCGAGGATTTCGAAGTTTACTAAGGCTTACGCCTATAACCCGTAGTAAACTAGGTCACTTTAACACTATATAGCAAACGATAATTTAAATATGTAAAGAAGGGAGCGTATTATGTCCGAGGCTATATAGCTATCTCCTTATTATCTCTATTCTAAGAATTATTAAACATGTAAAGCAATTAATTAATTAGTATAGTATTACTTCTACATTTACTACTAGGTACATCCGTCCGCACGGTTACTAATATAAACATTAGTAGCACTTCTTTTCCTACTACTAAGGATGCGGTTCGCCTAGGCGCTCTACTAATTAAAGTTAATAACACTTAACGCGTCCGAGACTATTTACTACGTATAGTTATAGTTCTATAACTTAACTACCGACTAGGAAATATAGGCATTAGAACTATCGGCATTATTACACTAAGACCTAGGTAAAGAAGGAAAGTTAGTATAAGTAGCATTTCTAAGAGCACCGTATAGGATCTAAACGGCGCTATTATTAGCTACGTAAGCGGCGCTACGTACCTAGCTCTATCTAGAGCGCTTCTCGATATCTGTAGAACGCTTATCGACTGCACTAAAGGGGCTATGAGTATCGACATTTACCGCTATATTACCGCTTAACTCGTTACACTTCTAATATAGGTCGGTAGCTTACTCTATTATTATAGTTCTAGCTATAGTAGCGTTTAGGAATGCTATTAGGACGTTATCGGTAATAGTAGATGTTACGGCCGAGGCGTAGCTCTAGACTAACACTAGATTGATTGATTGATTGATTGATTTAATTGATCAGGCTACTTGGTTCTACGGCAAACCTATTAGCCGTCTCCTACTGGTTTTACCTTTTATGTCCCTATCTGTCCTTGTTCCATTCTAGCTTCCCCTTACTCGACAGCTCTCGTCTGCCACGCAAACCTGCCGGACTTGTGAAGAAAATGGAGGACCGCCTTCACCGCCGGGAGGTTCGCTTTCCATTTTTCCTTCGGCCCGTCGACTGGTCGCCCAGTTCTCGGGTCTTCCCAGGGATTCCAGCCCCCGAGTATGTAAGAAAGGTCCCTCCACCTGTGCCCTACTGCCTCGATAGCAATTTGACGATCTTCGCGTAGGAGGGGGCATTCGTATATGACGTGCTCAACACTTTCTCGCGTGGCTCCGCATTCGCACCTTGCTGAGTCCACCAGTTTCATCCGGCATAGGTCACTCTTTAGTCGGGAGTGCCCTGTCCGGCATTGGGCGAGTATCGACGCCTCCTCCGCGGACAATGCATTATACACTATCGCTATATGGGGGCCTGGGAGAGCTCCGTCTAGCTTCCACGTGTACAATCCAGTATGTAGCGTGTCTCGAGGTCTTGTCTTTCTGGCCTGTTTCCAGGTCTCGTCCAGCTTCTTTTGAAGTGTCTTCTTAGCCACCCTAGCTATTAGGAACCATACCTTCCATCGGAAGGTATGCTAAATTAGGTATAGCGGGGAGGCTTGGCTGCCGAAACAGGAAATCTTTAGGACGGAAGGCATGACGGAAGGTACATTTTGTAACTCACACAGATCTTGCTGAATATTCATAAAGCAA